GGAGAGTTCCGGGGCCGCCTGGCTCTCACCGCGGCGCCGGGCCAAGCCGGGAAGCGCCGAGCCAGGGTCGGGAAGCGCCGGGCCGGGTCGGGAAGCGCCGGGCCGGGACGCGGCTCCTCCCGCCGCGGCTTCCGCCCACGTGACGGGGGAGCGCGGCTGGGGCCGGGCTGGCGGCAGCGCCCCCTGGCGGGGAGGAGTGGGCGCGGCGGGAGCGCGGCAGAGCGGCCGCCCCAAAGGTGACGTCAGCGTTCTCCAGTGACGTCACGGCAGAGGCACTGAGGGGTTTAGGCCTGTTAGGGGACAAATGAGCCCACAAAGGAAATGCAGGTCAAGCTGGTGCTGAAAGATGCATACAGTGCATTATAGCGTCGGACAGTCAATTTCAAATTACAATGTCCAGCTCTGACTGCATGCTGTAATTCCATTTGGCCACAGCATCAGGACTAACATCACTTCACAGAATCAGCAAGGTTGGAAGAGACCTCTGAGATCATCAAGTCCAACCATCCACCCAGCACAATCACTGCAACCCCTAAACCATCAGACCTTATCACCCAGTACCACATCCAGACACCTTTTGACCACCTCCAGGGATGGTGACTCCACCACCCCCAGTAACCCATTCCAGTGCCTTACAGCACTAAGAGTGAAAAATAAATCCCAGTATCTAATCTGAATCTCCCCTGTCTGAGCCTTAGGCCATCTCCTCTCGTCCCCTCACTGCAGGCGCAGCAGGAGAGACTCGAGCCGCCTTTCAGGGAGCTGCAGAGGGGGGTGAGGTCCCTCCTGAGCCCTCTCCAAGCTCAACAAACCCAGCTCCCTCAGCTGTTCCTCACAGGACGTGTTTCCTGGAGCACCCATGAGCCTTGCTGCCCTTCACTGGACACACTCCAGCACCTCAATTTCCCTTTGAAAGGGAGGGGCCCAAAACTGAACGCAGTGCTGGCGGTGTGGCTTCACCAGTGCTGAGCACAGGGGACAATCCCAGCCCTGGTCCTGCTGGCCACACCACTGCTGACACAGGCCAGGATGCCGTCGGCCTTTGTGGCTACCTGGGCACATTCAGCTCATATTCATAATCTGTGAACAGCATTCAGAGTATTGCTTTGCTCCTAGGCAGAAGAATCTGGATTAATTGACAGTCTTTGATGTCAGTGATAACCCATTTGGGAAAATTAGGACGGGACTAGATTAAGGATTTGGCATCTAACCATGAGAGCTGATGTCCAAGTTGGCTATAGCTACTTGTAGTCACTGATGAATTCTGTGAAAACTGGAACTACCTTTGCTGTGGCAGAGGTTCTCCACATGATCAATACACTTCCCTGTTTTTTAGCATTGCTAATGTAATGGAGTGCATAGTTAAGGACAGACTGAAATCATTCCAGATTACTTGAATTGTATATGATTTATTAATTTTAGTGTGTAGCTGATAAAATGTATTTTTGAGGCCATGAACAATAAAGAAGAGAAAACATCCTTTCCAAGGAATTGTTCTACATTGCCAGTCTATGGATTTCTAACATGCAGAACTGTGTTTCTGTATTTCCTGTATCATATTTCCACTTGATCAAAAGCATTAATTGAGATGAGCTCAGTTGATTACAGCATGGTGCTGATATCACCAACGTTGTAGGTTTGAGCCCCATATGGGCAATTTATTTAAGAGCTGGATTTGACAATCCTTGCATGTCCCTTCCCAGAACATTCTGTGATTAAACATGACTAATTAAGTCTTGCTGAATTTACTTTTATTTTCTGACTTACAAAACAACATGTTGTATAATTCTATAATATATCATTCATGGGGGCCATGGTTAAAATAGAAGATATAGTTTGGTAATTTCTCAATTCAGCCACAAAATGTAACTGTCTAGCTCTATAAAGATTGGACAAGGCCTCCATAAAATATTGGAAAATGTTTCATAAAGCTGTTGTTATTAGGCAGAATGCTCTAGTTTCCTATCTTTTAGCGTTAATTATGCTGAAAGAAAAAATAAACCACACTAAAATGCACTTTTTACTGCTAAAATGGGTTTACACATTAAAGCTGACGTGAGATCATCTATCAAGATGCATAGTGCCAGTGCCATCCTCTCCCCTCCTACTTCAGCTTGCCACAGATATTCTTTAAAAAGGGTGTTTGATCTTCCAATACTGACTTTAAGTAATAAAAAAATTCTTAAATTACATATACATTAAAAATTACATAATATAATCACTCACCTTACTAGAAAAATATTTATATGCTGAAAGTGACTGAAAGCATTGGGCAATAGGTAGATGGCAAGGAAAGCAATATAGGCTTGTTTTTGAAAGAGCTTAGTATATGTATGTTACTGTATGTATGACTCCAAAACAAGGAGAAGTATGAGAAATAACCTAGAAGGCACAGTCCAGACCATGCTCCCTGCTCTGTTTCACTTCCAAAACTTTTTTTAAAATTCTGCACTGATCCGTATTTGCTTAATTTAGGATGCAAGAAAATATTAGTTAACCATGAAAAATAAACTCACAGGAGAGGAGTATTTCTGCTGTAAATAAATAACATTTAAATAAATTCTATTGTCATAGGTTTCCCTGTATGCTTAATTCTGATGTTGGTTTAAGTGTTTAAAATATATATATACAGAAAGAAATCACCTGTCTTTCATGACAGCCTCTGTTCCCTTTCTGTCTGTTATGTGAGCACGAATTTCTTCTTAATTCTGACGTTGGTTTAAGTGTTTAAAAATATACATATACAGAAAGAAACCTGTCTTCCATGACAGCCTCTGTTCCCTTTCTGTCTGTTATGTGAGCACAAATTTCTGTTTGCTTATGATTGCTCATCTTCATTTTCAGGCTGCCATGTATTTTCTTCTCTTTGGAACAGACTTGGCTAATAGGTACTCCTGTCTTCTGAAGAAAATCTGCATTATATCCCCAATCTCACGTAATCATTCCATCACATAGTTGAAACCTTTATATGCTACAGATGCATTTGTGTTAATCCTTTCTCCTGTAAATTTCTTCCTAGTCAGTTTTGGAGAGTTCTTCCAGGAGAACTAGATGAATCCCCAGATACTTTATTTCAAACTGCATTCCATTTATCTAAGGTCAGGAAATGTGATGTAGGAAATAATTCCACATTAACTGAAAGATGGGCAATTTAGCCTGTCGGGTCTTTTCCATTCATAATTTAGCACATTCTCTGTGTCCTGTGGAGCAGCTGTGCTATGCTCACCACAAAGTGATAGTGTCCCTCAGACTTCCCATAGCACAGTCAGGCAATTACAGAGTCTTGGTAGCTGGCATCTTACAGAGAACTATGTGAAAGTAAGGAGTGCCTAGATTAGGTCCACAAAGATCTTTTAAAGTACTCTTTACTCTTCCTTTTGATAGTAACTGAAATAATTGACATGGACAATGTCCCTGGTTTTTTCCATTCCTTTTGTTCAGTCTGACTGCTCAGTTAAGAATCTCTGAAATACTAGATTATCAGACAGAAGAAATGCCAGAGATTTTAATGGCATATTCTTCCACATAAAATGCAGATTTGTGTCTTCCAATATAGCCCATTACATGTTTATTTAATACAAGAATAAAAATGTATAAACTACCAATGAAAGTCCATTAAATATGGTTGAATGTTATAGTAACTGTTTAGCTATCATCAGTTTCTAAAATGACACAGACAATTACTGGGCAAGAATTCAGTATACATTTACTTTATTTCAAAAGAATGCTCTGAAGTGCTCATGTTTAGAGTTCTAGGTTTTTTATTACAATTACAAGATGAATGATGAAAGCTTTTCCACCCAGAAAATATTTCCTTGTGCCTATTAAGCAAAGAATTTGTAAATATTGTGGAAAACATTGTGACCTCAACAATCAATACACAATTCAAACAAGATGAGGTATCATAGATAGCAGTAGCATGAATTATTCTTTCTATATAAGATGGTTTTGTGGAACCTGGATGTTGGGCAAATACTTCTTGTAGCTAATAATTAAATCTCACAACACACCTACTTGCACTGGATTATCCCAAAGACATTCTCAAAAGAACAACTGTATTGTGCAAACAATCACTAAAATTACATTCCTTCTCTCTAAGAGTATTTAGGTGGCAAATTTAAGACCCAAGTCCTTACAAGTGCCAGAGGATTTGTGTTACCCACATAAACTGCCCTGACAGCTGTCTTACTGTACAGTAATAATTACTAAGATTGTGTTAGAACCAATGTAATTTGCAATATATGCCTAGAATAAATATCTAACATCCAAATATTAACTAATCAAAGGCATGGGCTTTCCTATATACACACAATAGGACAACACTGAAAAAGTAGAAAGCTGTACATTTTACAGGTTTTCAAATATATTCTCACTTACTTGATGATATATCAATTTTGAATCCAAAGTACATTTACACAAATGTTTTCTTTTCACATGGAAGACAAAGTCCAAGCCACAGTACAGCAGAGTATCCTTGCACAGCTATCCCATGTTAGAGATGGCCGGTGCTGAGAGAGGACATGAACCAGCCTCTGATTTCCTGGGGGCTGATATCACTCAGCTCCAGCTCCATACCCACTTCAGTCCACAGCCTGCCTTCCTGGACTCTCTTGGCTGCCAAAGGAAAAACTAATTTTCTCCTGCAGGACATTCAGATCAGAAGCTTCTCTGAATGGAGCTTACTTTGGGTTGGCATTTTTTTATTTACTACGGGATGAACAGCCAGCTCACTCAGCTGACAGACACTGGGCAGGAAGACCATGCTTCTTACCATTAACCTTGTTCCTTTTCAGCCTCTGCTCAACACAGCTGCCACTTATCCTCTGTTTCTGCCACAGTATACTGCTATCACAAGTCCAGCTGTTACATTTTGTGAGCTGTTCTAAATTCCTCAAGAAGATTCCATCCCATGGTAAATTTAGCTCTAAGAACTAATATGCCTTTAAGTAGTGCACTGAATATGCTTACACTTAGCTAAAAACTGTAGTATACTGCTATCACAAGTCCAGCTGTAACATTTTGTGAGTTCTAAACTCCTCAAGAAGACTCCATCCCATGGTAAATTTAGCTCTAAGTACTAATGTGCCTTTAAGTAGTGCACTGAATATGCTTACACTTAGCTAAAAACTGGTGAAAATAATTCTCATCATTCTATTCTGAAAACTCTATCACTTACCTATAAAGTAACTCTAGTAACCAACAACTACTGTTTACACAGTATTTTCTTATCCTTTGGTTTAGAGATAATTTCTGTTCCCTAACCACAGCTGTTCATAAGCAAGAAAGGACATATTAACATTACAGAAGTTCTGAAAGGTCTGACAAATAAAGCAATGCTGCTTCAAAACATTTGTTTTCTAAGACAGTATCACAAATAATGTGAAGGCCAAAGGGAATACTAAATGTTCTGAGGGAAAAATAATATAGCTGCATAGGTGAAAAGTTGGTCCCATGGTATCTGAATGCAGTACTCCAATTCACCAGGATGAGAACTGGATTCTTGCAGGGATGTAGCTGTGCTCTCTTTAATGGAGTTCTGTGTTTCAACACATCTGGAAATGGAAATGTTCATCATTCTCATACAGAACTCAACTGATTGCTTTTTTTTCTACTTCCAAGATATGAACTAACTGTTAATGCTCTTAACGTTACAAAAGTATTTCAAGCTATTAATGAAAGATAATTTATACCTCCATGAACATATAAGCAAATACTGAACTCTGCTTACGTAAGCAACCACCACTGACCATGATAATTATTGGCACTTTCCAGTCTCTTGTATGTATAAATATTTGCTAGAATGAGGACATCTTAATATGTATAAATGAATTATCAACTGTTCATGTAAAGAGTATGTTCCACTTTTTACTTACATGTAAAATTAAAAAGGAGACACTGCATATCAGCCAGAAACTTTTTTATCAGATGGTTTATGAAATGCTGGTCAGTGAAAGTCAACCAGTCACCTTAATGTTAGAAAATACATCTTTAGGACAAACGACAGAGGGAGAGACACAAAAGGTTGGAAGCGTAGAAGCAAACCCGCATAACTACTAAGAAATCTCTATTGCTGGATGACCAGATTGAATCATCATTTAGGTAGGTGTCATCAAAGTTCACAACCTTGAAGTCCTTCTTAAGGTACATGGCATTCAGTTTGTTTAGTGTTCGAGCAAAGGTATATTTAGATGCACAACTATATGCTTCCATATTGTAGACTTTGTGGAAATGCATATCAAAATATGGATTATCCTAAAAAAAATTGAGAGAGAATGAAATTACTATACACATTACAGTGTTAGAATTGCAACCTGTTGTTCTCTGCCCAGCTACCTACAGAGCTTTTTCTCAGTATGATGGTCTCTAAAGGACTTCACAAACTTCCGCTATTCGTCTTACATGTTCTTTTACAACTTGAAAAAGTAGCAGCTGAAATTCTTTGTCATTGGGAATTTTTTCTGAGTAAAAACTTCTACATTTTCTCAAGCGTATACTGTACTTATTGGTATGTACAGTCGTGTTTTGAACTGAATCAATTTGTTATGTTGCCTAAAACACAGTATATGAAAAGCACCTGCCTTGGACTATAACTGTCTATGTCTGTGGGAGAGAAGAATATTGATTGCCCTTCCTGCCTGAGTTGTATGTCTTTATGCTTTCCGGCTCTTTGACACAATTAATCCTAGCAGCAGATAAATTCTTTTAAATTCTATGGATATGAATACCTAATATGAATATTTATAGCACTGTTAATTACCCCATGAGTTTGAGGTTCAATTAGGCTTTTCTTTAATCAAAAATGAGACAGATTTTGATCATCCCAGCTGTAAGAGGATGAATCATTCCTGAAGAATATTTTAGCACAACACTTCAGAAGAAGTGTCCATAAAAAAATTTAATGAAATTTTGTTTTCAAATACACTCTAAAATCTATTACATTAACTGCAGTTTGCACTGGAAGCTGCAGATGGAGAACTTTTATTAGCAGTCACAATGACCAAATTAAAAAACACCCAGCTTCTGCCTCAGGTCTCAACCAGAGATGAAGGCTTTTGTAATAAACTAACAGAAAAATCTCACCTTCCTCTTCTCCAACAGTGCAAATGTGACGTGGAGCCTCTCACATGCAATAATGCCAAAATTCCTTGGAAACTTAATTTTATTTTTCAGATAATGCATTTTAATTGCATTTTAATTACTGTATCCCAAATTGCAAAACAAGAAAATTGTTCTCTATGTACATAATACAGAAAGTAACACTTACTGCATCTGCTTCTTTTCCATCAATCATCTCCAGATCTTTCAAAAACCACTTTTCAACTATTTCATATTTCTCCTCTCGGTCCACTCGCCAGTGTTTAACCATACATATTTCTACTTCTTTACTTTTATTCACTGAAAAAAAAAAAAAAAGTTTAGATATGCAAGTACTTCCCAAAGGTAAACCATCACAGGCAGGGGTGTATTGGGTTACACTGGACTTGGATAGCTTTATTTTGCCCAGGTAGTAAGAAGGTGCCATGTTGTCAGTCTATGAAACCTATCAGATTTTAGTAGATTTAGGATTTACCTTACCCCCCTGTTCAAAAGCCTTTCATGTGAACTCACTAGCACTGCAATGAAATCCTCATTCTGGCACTGAGTCTGCATTATCCTTCTTAGTTCAAGAGGGAGATTTTTGGGGTGCTGCAGTTAGGAAATTGCAAAACCTCTACCAAGATTCTGTATTTACATGACTTCTGCTATACTTTCCACTCTGTGAAGGAAGTTCTCTTATGAAGGCATTACTTTTTTAAAGCAAAACTCTTATTTCCCTATACAGTATGTAAATGAAATCAACATTGAAATTTTTTCTTAAAGCTTTCAGTTGTCCAGTGCTAAATTTATAGAAATTACTGTTTCCCAACTTAGGCAGGAAATGAGATAAAAAAGAGCATGAAGAAGTTTTTTGCAATAACTACCATTATTAATTGATTAGTTTGAGTGCTGAGTAGGAGACTGGATTTCTGTAACAGACCATTATAAGTGTGAAAAGTACCAGAGCATGAGCAATCTCCTGCACATCCAGCTGCTGATGGCTGCAGGGCAGACCACATTCCCAAGCTATCTGGGAGCCCAAGTTATGGTCAAGAAGTCACCTACATTTGGCAGGAGCATTTCAACTTCACAGCACAAGGCTAGGAACACAGGAGCAAAATGCTTTTATTTCTAAATACTGCCTGAATTTTTGAAACCCCATTTTGAATCTTCATTAGTTTTACCTTACTCCTGTTAAAACATCTCTTATTCTCACCTGCTTATAAGAAAATGATTATTAAATAACGACAAAGTACTTATGTTGGAGATACTCCTTCTTTCCATTGCAAAGAAAAACGGTGGAAAATATATAAATTGATCATAATTTCTCTCAACCTATAGTTTCCCTGCCTGGGGAATACAAATAATTTTCCCCTGGTACTATCAATCATAGTTACTCAATCATTTTTGACCAAAAGACCACCACTGTTTTATCTTCCATGGAGAACATACACTGGTTTTCATTTGCAAGCAAATCTAGCAGATTTATCTTAGGAAGTTCTCTTCATACTTTCAGTTTCACCCATTTTGTTCGTTGGTGTGCTAGCTTGTAAAGGAATATGTTGTGTCCCTCAGAGTTAAAACTAAAGGAAGCAAGCCCAAACCTCAAGTCTTCTCAAAACCACAAAGGGATGCCCTAGGGGCCCCCAGATCCCCAGACTGCCACTGCTGCACCCCTCCGACAACAGAAATCCTATGACATAAGGACAGAGCACAGATGTTAGGCATAGTGAACCCAGTGCTGAAACTTGGGTGTGCTATTTTCAGTTAAGAAAGAAAAATCATTTTCCTGCATTTTACCTACTGCTTGATCTTGCACTCAGTCAAAAGAGTCAAAGAAAAATTTTTTTCATAGAGAGCTCTACCATGTCACTCTATTAAGCTCTAAAAGCTTTGCTTGAGGTGGGCACAGCTATGGCAAAGAGAGAGACAAAGTATTTCTTAAAGCCTTTCATGGACTAAACACCTTTTCCAGTGTCTCTGTAGGACAAAATGTTATCCACACCATTCTTTCTTGGGTATACCAATACTGGGTTGTGAAAAGCCCTTTTTTTCTTTCATAGAGAGCATGAGCTCAGACCTACCATGTCACTCTATTAAGCCTTAAAAGCTTTGCTTGAGGAGGGCACAGCTGTGGCAATACCTTCATAGAGACAAAGTATTTCTTAAAGCCTTTCATGGACTAAACACCTTTTCCAGTGTCTCTGTAGGACAAAATGTTATCCACACCATTCTTTCTTGGGTATACCAATACTGGGTTGTGAAAAGCCCTGAATGGGGTTGCATTTCAGCTCTATGTTCTTCCAGGGTTTATAAACTGTCTTGTGAAAGGATACTGTCACTTTCGTGCAAGAACTGGGATTTGCTGTTGTGAAAAGGAAAGGAAATAGTGTTGGCCAAATGGCACCAAAAGAAGATTGTTCAGTTACCCACACCAGGATTTTGTTGTAACACACATTTCAAAGGCATAGACTTCCGAAGTTTTGACTATAGTTTGACAGATTTTTTTAATGGTGATTTGAAATCAGCAGAAACACACAGAGGTTGCATTGCAGGGATAAGATTTTAGATAACGTGTTTTGCTCCCACAGAATCACAGCAGAACACAGTAGTTGCTGGCAGCTGGATGCAACCCATCTTTCAGAATCAGATTTCCACTCTACTCACCACTTACTCAACCATGCCTGAATATATTAAGAGGGTTTAATATTGGATAGTGGAGAGATCCTACTCTAAATACTCTACATGAGTTTTCCTTTATGTCTTTAGAGACTTCCAATCAGTAAATCTGATTAGAGGCTTTCTTTTAATGGTTTGTTCTCCACTATCTGAAAAAGACGTTTTTAGGAAAGATTTTAAAGGTGCATGATGTTAATTCTCCTTTTCGGAAGTTTCACAACAGTGAACTGCTTACAGAACTCCACATGGAACTAATCATACTTCTACAGATCGTTTCATAAACTGTGAATGAGATTGGTATTTCTGTATGTTTAGAAGCCCTATAATATGCAGGAATTAATTCCTTTAAACTGTTTTTATAGTTCTAACATACAAAGCCTGTTCTACCAAAATTAAAGGAGTACAGGGAACATAGCTGGCTCAGGGTTTCCAATAATCAGTAAAACAGCTCATGTGTTCTAAGGACTTCAGGTTTTTAGAAGGATAATGAATATAGAATACTGGATGCCAACCCCATCTATGTCTCAAGCACACAGATTATTTCTATCTATTATATGTATTTGGAACCTGAAGAGGAAACAGACTGAAGGAATCATCCACTTCAACCAGACTACTTACAGATGACATTTATCTTTTTAGTATTTTTCAGTGGTTTGAAATAATAATTTTAAAAACCCTACGCAAACCAGCTTTTCTGAAACCTTTATGAAACAGATGATTCACTTTAAAAGAAATTTTTAAAGTAACCAGACAATTACCACTTACAGAAATCTTATTCTTCTCAAAGTTTGTGCTAATTACTAACTCCAATGTGTATTTATTTAAACCACAAGTCTAATTTGTTGTTCAAAGTGGAATAGGGACACTATGCGGGACATTAGACCAAGCCGAGGGATAGTGCACAAAATTAACAAATGTTCCCTGCAGTGTTAATGCAGGAAAAAATCTGCGGAATCTGGAAAGAATCTATGAAAGAATCTGTAGAATCTAGTAAAGAATACGTAGAAAACCTGACTAGAGCTATTGTAAAGGCTTGCCCTTTTCAGAGGCGCTCGGGCGCTCACGGCACTGCCACGGCCAGAGCGCTGCCCGCAGCTGCGGGGCAGATGTGCGGATGTGTCCCCGCGCGGGTGCCAAACCTGGAGCCGGTGTGACTCACAAGCGGGAGAGAACGCTGTTCCGGGGGCTCCGGCGCTGCGGGAGCGGCGAGCCGGGCTCCGTGCCGTGCGGGTAGCGGCGGGACACGGCGGGACGAGGCGCTGCCCCGCTCCGGCCCGGCCCCGCTCCCCACCGCGTCCCCCCGCGGAGCCCGGCCCGCCCGGCGCTGCCCCGTACCTGCGGCGCACAGGTAATAGCGCTGGGCGCCCGCGCCCTCCACCTCGATGAACTCGTGCAGCCTCTGCCGCCGGGGCCCGAAGAGCCTCTTCGCCAGGTCCTCCTTCACCAGCGAGGACATCGCACCCGCGGAGCCGCTCAGCGCCGCGCTCCCCGCGCCCCGCAGCCGCCACGGGGCTCCACGGCGGGGGCTGCGCTGCGGCCGCGCGGGCCACCCGCTGCCCCCGGCCGCTGCCCCTCCGCCCCAGCTGCCGCCGATAAAACTTCGGCCGCCGGCGCCGGGAGAGGCCGGACCGCGATCTCCCCGCCCCGCGCCAGCGGTACCGGCACCGAGACAAGTCCCGAGTGCCGTCGGGCCGGCCGGGGGGAGGAGACAACGAGCGGAGGAGAGGAGAACGCAAAACAATCACGCTAGAGGCGATTTACCAAAAAAAAAAAAAAAAAAGCTGTCAACGCAATTCTTTTTATCAGTAGATGAAAGCGCTGAGAATTTATAAAGGAATTAGATTAGACAGCATTATGGCTGTCACCAGTGTTCCTCCAGTAATAGCTTTTTGGCTATTAATAGCGTTAAGGACGAAATTACCTTATGCCACTCCTTACAAATAGAAACTCACGTCCAGAGGAGTCCTAAAAGGCACCCCCAGAATGTTTGCACATGTGAGAGGTCTCTCATGTCAGCCATAAATGTATTTGCAGAAATTTTGGTTGTTTCTGCCATTCCACAGGTGTGTGGGTGAAGTTTCTGGAGTTCGGTGCTCTTCTAATTCCAGTATCCATGGTAGCCTGTGCTAGAGTTTTGCACTTTGGACTGGTTTCTGGCTGCTTATAAAAGTTTGGATATTCTCTTCTAATTCTTACTTTCAAGCTTGTATACCTTATACAAGCTTGAATACCTTACTGAGTTTTTCATTTTTGTGATCTCAATGCAACATAGAAAGAAATGTTACCTTGGAATGAAACTAAGTGCTAAAGTGAAGGCAAGATTTAGAATCTGAGGATATTTTAAAAATTGGCAATATTAGAATTATTTAGTGAGTTAGGTCTACATGGTGCTTTCATTATGTGAAACAAAATGGAACCAAATTGAAATTATGTAAAATTAGGGAGAATCATCCTCTGCCACAGATACTAAGCATATTGAGTTGACAAGTGGGAAAGGATTGAAAAGAAACTAGGTTTTGATTTATTATCCTTTCTTTTGATCCCAACTTTGTTTGGAAACACAGTTATGATTTTTAGATATATATTAATTTCATCTCTGATTTGGGAGAGTAAAGTTACTCAAAGCATCAGGATTTATAAGTACAGGGCTTAGGGATAAATTTAAGCTCTCAGCTTTGAAGTGTTATTTTAGGAAAAGAGCAAGATGCTCACTTCCAAACCAAGACATCCGCATATCAGGAAGATGCCTTCTTATGGAGACTTCCCAGAGGATATCTGAGGCACAGGTTCCTGCCCACAATTTTGATGACTTGGCCATGCCTTGAATATGAGACTGCTGTAAAGTTGGCTTGCAGTTCACAGTCCCTCTCTGTCAGCCAGACATTGGCAGAATTGGCAAGGCTGGTACCCCAGGCTTCAGTTCATCACCACCAGTGTTAATAGTGCCGTGGCTGGAGGTTTCAGTGCTCATCCTCAGTGCCAGACTCCTCATTAGGAAGCTGATTTTGGCTCCACCAGCCTGTAGCTCATGTTGCATCTCAGATCCTTCAACTTTTTTTTCAGTTCTGAAGCAACAAAAGTACAGACAAAAATACCTTGAAAAAAAAATACTTGCAGCTCTGGAATAATTTTCAGTCAGTGTTTCCCTTGTTAAAGATTCAGTTGGTATCAGAGAAACTGCCTAGAGGGCAAGTGAGGCATCACTGGCGTCAAAGACATGATGGAGCTAAGACAAAAGTGGTGCATAAATCTGATCTCTCTTGAATCAGATTTTTGGTTTTTTGGTTTGATCATAAAGTGAGTTTCCACAAGAGTGTTTTGAGGTTTGATATATTAATATTCTTCTAAAGGATACAATATCCTTTATTGTATTCTCAAATGCTGCATTAAACAACTCCCCAGAGTATATCAGTAGAAAGGTGCAATGATGATTTTAATGGGTAACCTTTTAACAGGAGACATAAATCTTTGCCATTCACTATTGCTTTTGATTCTTTTGATTCTTTATTCACCCATCCTCTGTTACAACATATCAGATTTTAGATCCACCTTAACTGTGACAGTATGAGCCCAAATCCTAACAGTCTGAAAGGCAACAGTTGAGCTATAACTCACACAGACAGCAAGGATACACTAACTATGGACTGGGAACAACTTATCTGACACCCAGTGTCCCAGCCAGCCATCCCTACCTCAGATAACGCCACTCCTGAATGAGGGTCTTATAAATCAGAACAAACTAATTGTTACAAGCACCATAAAGGAATTTGCATCCAAATTTTATTGGGATTTACATGTAACTGTCCAAATAGATGAATTACAGATGATTGTGAAAGCCACACAACCCCTAGCCCAGACTCACAGTGATATACAAAGGGAGAAGTAGTAACCAGGAAAGTGTCTTACATCCTTCAGCTAAATATTAATTGCTTCTGTACCTTCCTCCCCCCGCCTTTTTCCCTTGCAATTTTTTCCCATGTCCTAATACAACTTTCTTTACTGTACCCAGGATATTAACTTTAACTGATATAGCAGCAGATCCTAAAAAGATACATCTCCTTAATCTTCATTGTTTCTCAGTCACAGTGTTGTGGTAAAAATCTATTCATCAGCTTTAGATACAATGTTTTTGATGGGTCCCTCTACTTCTTTGGGTCTACCATTGGACACTAGGATATGCATGCAGTGGAATTATTTGAGGCTTAATCCAAAATGCATTAAGTCAATAACAAAATTGTCTTTGATTCTGGTGGGCTTCAGAGTAGTCATTATAGGCACAGTGGAATACTGTTTAGGTGGGACTTCACTGTGGTCTGCATGTTGAATCCTTCCAGAAGATGTACATGTGATCTTTCTCTCAGTTCCTGGCACACCTTACAAAGCAGTGGTTGCTGGAAGCATCTTTTCCATTGCTCCTTGTTTGACAATGACATGAAATAATGGGAAGAAAAATGCAACATGAAGAATAATTTCTCAGAGCCACAAAGGATCCCTGTAGACTGAAAAATATAATTTATAATAGGCTTTACTTTCCAATACCTGCTGTTTCTCTTTGAGGTTTCAGCCAGGTACAGTTTTCTCTGTTAACAATTACTTTATTATCTGTAAATATTCTTCACAGCTTTGAGTCCCCAGATCACTTTTTTAACATCACAGATGATATTTCAGCATGTAAACTAAAAATTACAAATGGCATTCTGCAGTGACCTAGCTGTACAGAGCAGCTTCCAAAGCTGACTTCAGAAAACTAGTTCTGAACAATCATCTTTTTTTTCCGTATGATTTGCTAATGATTTTTTCTCAGGTCTCTTTCGCCACTGGCACTTATAGAGGATTTGACTCCTAATTATGGCTAGTTATTCCCATGTTTTCTTAGCTATGCCAATAAACTTAGATCTCTGTGCAGTGAAGCATAAACCTAGCTGTGTTGTCCTGAAAACTCTTTGAAGCACCAGAGATTTCATGCAGAAATGCTGTTCAGTAAGCAACAGTTTGAGACACTCAGTTTTAAAACAGAAGCATAGAAATACATGAAGTAGAAGAAGTCAGTTGGTTAAAATGTTCTTGCAGAGCTGTTTTTCTCCTGACTGTTTGGGGGAGCCCATTAAAAGAGTCTTGTACCAATGCCAGGATATTTGGGTGCTCAAACAATGACTCAAGACTTCATCAGTTCTGGTAAAGAAAATTAAACCCCAAATGTGGCTGGTGTCTCTAATGATGTGATGTAATTACTTGGTTTTAAAAAGCAGTACTGTACTCTTTTCTTGGAAGAAAAGAGGTAAAAGAGTTTATTTTTGAGTTTAATTAACTGACACTCAAATTCCTCAAGTTTATATTGACTTTATACTGGTTTATCATTTTCAAAATATAATCATGAGTGTCATTGGCATAAATGGTCCCACACAATGCCAGCATCCTGTCCAAAATTTTCTTTTCAATAGAAAATAGACACATGTACTTCATATAATAATAACCAGATGCTGTTTTATGGATGGAGTTTGAAAGCATATTTTGAAACATAATAAAAAAGCATGGAGTATCCAACTTTTCTATGAATAATTTACTCATGTTGAATTTTACACATATATGAACTAAAAATTAGGGCTGTAAGTAAATTCGCTTAAATAATAAGACTTTCAGTTCCCATTCAGCAGAGCACCTAATAACACTTTGATAAATTGCAGCCACATTTAATTAACAGTGTGAAATCCTGGCATGATGGATTCAGCACTCTGTTATTCAAATATAACCTATTCAATATCATACAATTTTCTTTGTGGAGGTCAAACTGTAAAGATAAGAATAAAGAAAAAAAAAGAAAAAAAAAAGTTAAAACAAATCCCATGAGTTTCTATGCATACAAATGACCATTAGTCTTCTGACAGCTGAAAGGTTTTGAAATTTTAGGTCAGGATTTTGACAGCTCTGGTGTATTTTACAAAAAATACAGAGAAGAACACATAGTAGAGAGTTACATTGATCAAGAAGTCAAGAAGTATCTTGATAATACATTAGAAGTAAATTAGGTTGTTACACAAATCAAAGTGCGCTTTTATGTTCTCATTTTCTTGTAAATTTTTTAATAAATGGATTTTTCTTCCAGAGTTACCCAGAACAACTTTAACAGATATTCTGTCAAAAGCCTCTTTAGACTTTTTAATAATGATTTTCATCTCTCTCTCAGTAGTTGCAAGTAATAAATTTAATTTGTCTTGGCACAAGAACCACTCTCTTCTCTCATGAAAATTGAACATTATTATTAATGTAGATAGTCAATTACTTCAGATTAATGTGGATTTATATTTTAAATCAATACATCACCGTGATGCAAAGCACTCTTAAAACACTGTAAACTTCTGATGGATATCTAATCCATTTTTAAAAAATTCATAAAGTCGGGAATCTATACAACTGCGTAATTTGTATGGATGTTGTATTTAGGCCATGAGCGCATAGTTGACAGTTGTGTAGCTTAAAATATGTTTTATTCTATATAGATCTTTATAAGTTCTCATCCGGTCAGTTACTCACAAATGTTAA